TTGTTTAGGTAATTCTGAGGTGGTTGATGGTTCTGTGAGCGCCTGTCCTTTATAATTTTACACATTGGCACTCTTTTTTTGGGGGGGATTCTTATTTTTTGGTGTTTTCCTGGCACTGTCATAGTTTGTATGTGTGTGGGAGTGGGTGGGTGTGCAATGTCCCGGAGTTATCTACCCAGTAATATTAATAATATCTAGTAATCTAGTAATAGTAATATTAATCTAGTAATAGTAATATTAGTAATATTAATAATATCTAGTAATATTAATAATATCTAGTAATTAGTAATATCTAGTAATAACATCGTCTTGGCCACTCCCCTCTGGTCACATGGGTGGCAAGCCACTCCCCTCTGGTCACATGGGTGGCAAGCCACTCCCACAAAGGAGGTCACGCCCACAGAGTAGGTTAGAACAATTTTTGAAACCCACCCCTGATATGACCACAGGGATGTCTTGACAGTTTTAATTGTGAGTACTGATTGTAAGTCACTTTTTTCAGTGTGGTTGTAACTTTGAATAGTCATTGGACGAGTGGTTGTAAGTGGAGGTCTACCTGTACTATAATGAACTTGAAACAATATATTAAATTATTATCATAAATTTTAGGTTTCTGCAAAATATTCAGAGACCTCATGGCGAACATGTCTATAAAATACTATACATAAACTTTGACTTCATTCCCTTTCCCTTTTTCTTCAATATAACATGGAATACCATAGTACAGCTATACCTTGTTATCTAAATATATGTGTATATTTATTTATTAATGAAATATATGATTGCCCATTTCACAGAAAGATAGCCTATATTAAATAACATATATAAAACAATGCTAAATATATGATTATTAAATATTAGTACAATTAAAACATATAAACCTCTGCCAGACTAATTATATCTACCTCAGTAAAAGCCATCTAACAGTCTCCGATTCTCTGGGACCATCAAGCTTGGTGATGATAATCAGAAACTTCTGAAGCAACAAAATGGGGAGAGCCACTAAGAGCACTAGGACTTGATTAACCAGGCTTTAGGAAATATTTTTCTTCGATTCCCGTTCTTTTCTTGTAATCTCTTACATTCAAATTATAATTTCATCTCATAAAACTCACATTAAAAGGTACCAAAACCAAATATCTGTTGAGCCTGACTGTCAATTCATTTTGAATTTGTGCTGTTTTTTGAAAATATAAGAATTTCAAAAGCAGTCAACGAAGACAGATATTTTGATACTTGCAGCACCAGAAATTCACACTAATAAATTTATTTTCCATTTGAATAGACATGACTTTCCTTCATTGACAGCCTTTATGAACAGTTTATTATATCTATGGAATAGTGCTACATGACTCAGCTTCAAAGATTAGTATAATCTGAGATTTCCTGCTGTTGAATTGCATTTCAAGCTATGGATTCCTTTATTCTGGTTCTATAACTAACAATGAACTTAAGATAAAGCACCTGCTTTAAAAAGATCATGCCTGTCTCGCTTAATTATGAAGTTTGCTCTTCAACACTATCTCAGAAATAAGTGCTAGAAAATAGAAATAGACTACTGCAGGCCTGTTTGTGGAGAAAACTGGGAAAACATTCCAATTTTGAGAAGAGGGGGGAGCAGCGATTGAACCGTTTATAAAACATTTTCTTTCCGTAAAAATAATGTGAAATCTTTTTCAGATGATCTGTTCTGAATCTATTGCAGAAGGTGCACCTACAGAAATACTACATTTAATACACCGGCGGGCAAAAATGCAACTCTGAGGAGACTCATGAACCATTTCTATTAAGCTACATCCGCCTAATCGCTTATTTACTTAGCAAATCCAAAGCCTTATGAACGCATGCTAGTACGGAGCGCCGGAAGGGTCAAAAGTTTAGGCGAACTCAAGCAAAGAAGGGAGGATTTGTACACATGCTCTGTAACGCATAATGCAGATTAGGTAACAAAGGTGAAGAACAAGAGGTCGCGCATGCGCTCTCCTATTCCAGTTGCGCAGCGACAGCCAATCAGGAGAAGCAGCGGAGACTTTCGAACAAGCGGGAAGCGAAGCTTTGGAGGGGAGAAGTTGAAAACAGTAGTAAAGAGTTAACGGCTGTAGAGTCCCCGAGAGTTGCCGCGTGCTTGTATCCCTGCAGTGAAGAAAAAGGCTGTTGTGGGAAAGAACACGAGCCGTGCGCCCAAAGGGATGTTGAGTTGAGTTCGATTTTCTTAAAGACGCGGGCGATCCCTCGGGCATGCGGGCAGTGGTTGCGAAGAGCACAGTCGGAAGGGAACGGAGGTAATAGATAAACATCCCGTCCCATTAAGAACAGATCTTAAAATAAACGGGCTGTCGCTTAGAATTGTCTGCTTGCTCAGTGATCGTTAAAACTGCTTTATAAATTCAATGAAACTATGCTCATGTGCAATCCCAGGTATACCAATTCAAGTTTCTTTGAATTGAATGGGGGGCAGGTTGCCCCAGTGAGATGCCTATATTGTTTTACAGCTTTTTGGTATTTGTACAACTATTTCATGGAATGCAGTTCACATTTTGCATTTGCATTATGATTTTTTTTTATGCGTACCTATATTAATGCAGAAGTCACTTGATTAAAGTAATAATTCCTGAACAAGGAAGGTTTTTATTCAGTTTTGTGCCTGACAAAATTAAGTTTAATGTATCAAGAATGTATTACATTTCTGTACTTTGAAATCTAAAAATCTGATTTGATCTTTTCCATTTACGTGCACGTGATGTTTTTTCTTCACAAATAATTACAACATATTCTCATGTCATATCTGCTAGTCATCTGATCTAGTGAGGCTGTTAGAATATATTTGTATTTTACTTTATAATATAATTTATTTGAGGATTTTTATTAATTCTCAGAAACCATGCTCATTTTGTTTTTTTAAGATTTGTTAGCCACCTTACTTTTTACTGTTTATAGGCATTGAAAGTTGCTTACCCAGGGAAATGAAACAAGTTATATATTCCTAAAATAGCTTTGCATTTGATAAATGTATCTTCAGAAAATTTAGAGGCCCAGTCATGGGACCAGTATGGGTAACCCTTGACTTGCAAACACAACTGAGCTCAAAATTTATGTTACTGAGACAGTTGTTAAGTGAATTTTCCCCATTTTATGATTTTTTTGCCAGTTTTTAAGTGAATCATTGTTAGTAACATGGTTGGTAAGTGAATCTTGTGTTGCCTTTTATTTCATGTCAGAAGGTTACAAAAGGGGATTATATGATCCCAGGTCACTGCAATTGTCATAAATATGAGTTAGTTGCTAAAGTCACTTTTTTCAGTGCTGTTGTAACTTTGAACGGTCACTAAATGAACTGTTATAAGTCATATGGTAAACAGGGGCTGGTTTATATAAAGTGTGCTGAAAGAAGTGGGGTCTTTGTGACCATCCACCTAATTAATACTTTTATGTCATTGATCTTAGCATGAAAATCTTAATACAATCACAGATCTGGAAGGCACCTTGGAGGTCTTCCAATTCAATCCTCTCCTCAAGCAGAAGACCCTATGACAATTTCAGACAAATGTATGTCCAATCTCTTCTTAAAGCCTTCAGTAATGGAGCACCTATAACTTCTGGATGCAAGCCATTCATTGTTCCCATTTACAGGAAATTTCTCCTTAGTTCTACATTGGTTCTCCTTGATTTTCCATCTCTTACTTTTTTTCCTCCCATCAGGTACTTTAAAGAACAGGTTGGACTCCTCTTCTTTGTGGCAGCCCCTCAAATATTAAAAGACTACTATCATAGTACCCCTAGTCCTTCTTTTCAGTAGACTAGACATGCCCAATGCTTGCAACCATTTTTCATGTTTTATCCTCCAGCCTCCTATTCAATTTTGTTGCTCTTCTCTGCATTCTTTGTAGAGTCTCAACATCTTTTTTATATTGTGGTGGCCAAAACTGGATAAAATATTCCAAATGTGGTTTTACCAAGACATAATAAAGCGATATCAATATTTTACGTGATCTTGATTCTATCTCTTAATTCAGCCTAGGACTGCACTGGCTTTTTTGATGGATGCTGCACACTGCTGTCTCATATTTAATTGGTCATTTATTAGGACTCCTGGATTCCTCTCAGGGTTATTGCTGGTGGACCAGGTGCCACCTATTCTGTACCTGTACGTTTGGTTTTTCTTGCCTAAATGTAAAACATTACTATTCTTATCACTGAATTTTGTAAGCTAGGGTCCAGTGTTCAATTCTGTTGAGATCCTTTTGGATCTTGAGTCTATTTTCTCAGATATTGGCTATTTCTGCCAGATTGGTGCCACTTGTTAATTTGATAAGTTTCCCTTCTATCCCTTCAATTAAATCAGTTATGAAGATGTTGAAAAGTACTGGGACAGAGGCTTAAAGTATTCTACTGTTTACTTCTTTCCATGTAGATATACCATAGTTCCATTGAGGACTGCACGTTGAATATGGTTTGTCAGCCAGTTATGGATCCATCTTATGGTGATACTTCTATTCCACATTTTTCTTATCAAGAAGTAGGTTGTTTCCTACTTTGTCAAATGCTTTATTGAAATTCAAATATACTATAGCCACAGCATTTTGCTGGTCCACTAACTTAGTTATGTTGTCAAAGAATACAATAAGATTTGTTGGGATTATTTGCTTTTGGCAAACCTATGTTAGCTACTAGTTATAACTTTGCTTGCCTCTAGGTGTTCACAGACATGTTGCTTAATTCTCTTCCAGGATCTTCTCAGGTATTGATGTCAGGTCTATAGTTTCTTGGATCCATTTTCCAGTTCTCTGGTAGTTCCCCAGTGCTCCAGGATCTTTGAAAGATGGCTCAGTGACTCCGAGATCACAACTGCCATCTCCTTTAGAACTTTGGAATGTAATCTATCTGGTCCTGGTGATTTGAACCCTTCCAATGTGGACAGGTGTTGTCTTCCCCTCTTCCCCCTCCCTATTTTAACTTGTACTCCTAGACAATCTTCTAAGATTCTGCTTTTGATAGATTGGGCTATTTCTTCATTTCGTGTGAAGACAGATGCAAAGAATAAATTAAGTAGCTCTACTTTCTCCCTGCTGCCCATCACTTCCTTGCTAACTTCTTCCATTAGTGAACCATTTGTTTCCTTTATGTTTTTCTTGATTTTTATGTGCTGAAATATTTATTATTATTTTTGACATTTCTTGCAGGTCTTATTTCTCTCTCAGTCTTGGTTTTCCTGACTTTGCAGATTCAGACTATGTGCTGACATTCTGCCTTAGTTATGTATCCTCCTTTCCATTTTTTTTTTTTACTTTTTGTCTTTCAGTTTATCAGATAATTTTTTGTGCAGCTAATGCTGGTTTCTTTTTGGATTTCTTATTTTTCTTTTTCAGTGGTATTGTGCTGGTCTTAAGTCATGTATTTGAACTTTATTCATGTAATTGTCTGTTTTCTTGATCCCAGCTCAGAAACAAATTTGCTAAGGAATGAAATATAATTTTAATAATAATTTTGGTGAGCCAGCCAACGCCCCGAATTCACCTGTAGGGTTGAGTCTCAGAATAGTCAAGCTCTGCTGTTATTGGACCATTTGGCCACAAAATGATGCCTTTCTGGTGACTCATCCTGAAAGGTAATACAGAGAATTTTAGTCTTGAGCCAACAGTTGCATGAATTAAATCATTTTATAATTTATAGGTACCTGTGAAATTCTTTTTATTCCTTGTGAATGTCCATGTGAGTGATAGCTTTTGCTGATAAATTTGTCTATGGATCAAAGCTGTGTGGATTCCAGACTCCCTCAAATGTCTCCTAACCTTTGTAGATAATGAATTGAGAACCCTGGATTACAAAGGGGACCACTGAGATATACATGCTTCAATAGGGCATCAAAAGGTTCTATGACAAAATCATACCTGGGCAGATTAGAGAGCTAAATTGTCAAGGATCTGAATCAGAGGAATCTACGCTGGACAAGTTAGGAAGTTTCCAGGAATTCAGATGTATTCCAAAAGCTGATATATAGATTTTCACAAATTAGGGCAGAATCTTCAACTCCTTTGAGGAAATGGTTATTAGCTTGGGATAAGGGACAATTTCCTATCTAAGATGGAGTGACAAAAAAGCTATATTTCTGGAATAGATGCAAGCAGTAATGTAATCTAGCCAAGTTTGAGTACTTTCTACTATGATAAATTTTTAAAACAAGATTTGCAACATGATCATATCAATCACCTCATATATTGGTATTGGACTAAATTATTAGAGTTTTTTGTTTGTTTTTAAGAAAAAAAATATTCTAAATGCTCTTTTATTAGATATCACTCTACTTGCCATACGAACAACATCATGACATACAATCACATCATAGCATCTTTAATTAAAAATCCCAATGAAAGGCAATGAATTCAGAAAGGGGAACCTGACACTACATATTTTCCTTTCAAGCTTTGGGTTAAAATGAAAAGCAGAGGAGACCCTTTGATTTTATTTATTTTAAATATTTCTTTGTTGGTTGATTAGAAATTTCCTTTCCTCAATGGAAGAGAGAAAGTTAAATTTTCAGTATGTTTGCCAAAGAGATTTGTTGCATAAAACAAATGGACAACTAAGTTTAACACTGACTAGAAATTTGGGGCTTGCCTGAGTTTGCTGTAAGAAGCAGGTTAGGAAGAGGATTTTTAAAAATATTAAGTACCTATTTTTGTTTGAAAGTATACATGTATGTATATGTAGTTGTAAAGGGAAATAGTAGTTTGCGTGTGCCTATGTAGGTGTGTGTAATACATGAACGTTTTGAGCTGAAGGGAGAAAGTTTGAGAGAGAAAATGTGAGACTGACCTTTTGAAGAATTAAATCTCGTCAGTAAATGAATGTTTTGAATGTTGAACTTTTCATCTTTCTGTTAGCACTGTGAATAATTGGATTTAATTGTACTACGTTGTATAGATATTTGTAATTGCTATAATTGTGTAGGTTTTGTTATGTTTATATAAAATGAATGTTGAGATGGTTTTTTTGTTTACTGTTTATCATGTAATTTTTGTAGTTTGGCACTTATACAACAATGATGATGATATAATAGACTTTATTAGTCAATTGATCATGTCAAACGTAAGCATCAGTCACAGTAAAATACAATGTTGAAATAATTTACAGTGAAATGGGATAAAATCGCTATGGTGGGATAAAATAGAATAAAATATGGTAAATAAGATAATATGATGATAAAAACGTATGATAAAACACCTAAAAGAGGGTGGAAATGTTGGTGCGTTTTATGGACTAAATATAGCCAGTTTTGGCTTCC